CGGGTGAAAGTCTGGTGGTGGTCGAGGATGAGTTTATTTCTTCTCTTCCTTGCTTCCTTCTCTTCTCTTCTTTCTTGGACCTCATTTTGACTTTACTTTGATCTCCTTCTCTTCTCTTCTACTCCTTTTACTTCGGTCCCCTCTTAAGAGAAATGAGGGGCTATTTATAGTTTTCTGAGGATGGCATGACCAGTAAATAGGAAGAAGATTGGGGATAAATTGGAAGTGGTTTGAATGGACAGCCGATGTTGAATCCCTTGATCGTGGACTGTTTACTTAGCATTTGAAGGCTCTAATGATATCAGAATTTGACAATCTTGGGCGTCTTGTCCATAGCTACTAGCATCGTGCTCCTTTCCCTGAACGTCGTGGTGTAGCTCTCAGTAATGGATGAAGTCAGTTCTTGTAGAAGCCATTCTCCTTTGCGCTACTTAGGCCTCGTTTGATTCCTGTTCATCTTTTTCATAAGGAGGTAGAAAAGCCATTGCTGAAGAAAAGACGTTCTAAAAAAATTTATTTGGGAAACGTGATATCAGTTTGGTTACATTTTTCTTAATGCTGCCACAATACTAAAACCTCTACTATAACCACAAAAGACAAATTTGCCCTCTAATTACCCAGACCATCGTCCCTTCTTCAATGGCTATCACCTTGACAAACCGGTTGATTGCTGCTATGATGATGAAGAAGGACGATTCTTGTGGCAAGGTAAATACATCTGTTTTAAAGCCATTAAAAGTTAGAGGGCATCGAGAGGATTAATTTGAATTATTTAATTTTTTTCCCAATAGGCAGCATGCGAAGAGGTAATCTCCAAAGTTTGGAAAAATTGGTTGTTTTCCAATTGACAGCATACGAATAGAAATATATGAAGTCTAGAATAATCTTTCTGTTATTAGCATTTCTGGATGGGTTCTTGTATGTAATCTTTTCCTATGTTACAGACATTATTTTCATGCTTCAAATTGGAACTTCAAGATCATGTTATTGCCAACAAAACCAGTACATACATGTAAACTAATTCTGTCAACCTCGTTTGATTCCCCGGCTCTATTATCTCATTTTTAACGTAGCTTTCAAAACGGCAAATGGAGAAAAAATGTTCTTCTCAAATCGGCGGAAATACGAAGGTTCAACAGACATTATTTTGAAGAAGCGGTGTTACCAAACAACAAAATAATCCTTTTTTTACCGATTCGAACCGCAGAGGGATAAACTACGGAGAAACAAACGAGGCCTAAGTATGATTGCAATGAAATTTTTAGTTCTTCAAATAACATATTTTCTTTTAGAATAAATATTTTATCAGATAATGAAATTCTAAAATCAACAATCCAATGTCCATGTTAACATCTTAACACCAACTTCTGTTTCCACAAAATAAATTACTTTTTTTCAAGCCAAAAGATATGAACGCTTACTTAGAATGCATTAATATGTTATCAACTATGATTCTTGATCAGCATTGATTCTTTAAATTATATATTCAAGTAAACCATAATAAACCACTACTCCTAAATAGTCATTAGCATCTAAATTTTAATAAATTATATGTAAATTGTCTTCATTATCTTCATATATACAATGCAAACAGAGCATAGAAGCATGCTCATAAGAATGAATCAATATCTGCTTTACTAATTTCTCCTTAAACCATCTTCTTCCTCCTCTCTATTTTTTCTTTTTCTGTTTCATTTCTACTCTCTGTTTCTGTAGGAAAACAGCTCAACCAAATTCAAAAAACTTATGAATCAAGCCCTTATTTCCTTCTCCTAATTTATATTACATTAACAGAAAATTTTTGTTTCAGGATTTCTTCATAAAGTGTGTGCGAGTAGGAGTACAAATGCTCAAACAATATGACATAGTGTTGAAAGAAGATGAAATTTGAATAAACTACAATCATAAGTCCAATATTACCAAACACTATCTACTAATTCATAAACACAAAAATAACTTCTTTGTTCAACTAAATTTATTTCAATGACAGGAATATAAACTACAACAAATATAACAATCAACAAATATAACAAATTCAAATACAATATAACATTCTCAACATCACATCTCATCTGCACGCCTGAAACATAAAAATATAAATTAAGACTCATTATCTACTTCATCAACAATAACCTAAACAAACATAAAACATGATTCCTTCAGAATTTTAAAAAATAACTAGCATTTATTAGACAACTGTAGTACCTGCTAAAGTTGTACAACTTGTATTTGAATGATGTTGTGATGTTTTTTACGATTTATTTGAGAAGCGGCTAGCATTAAACTATAACGTGGGAAAATGATAATAAAAAAATACTTTTGGTTGACTGATGCATCTACTTCTTTTTTGAGAATGATAAGACATGTACAATTTATTATTATTTACTTTAATGATATTATAAGTTATTTTGAAAATCCCTAATTCTAGCTCTAAATACTGCTCTCAGCTAGAAAGGCCACCTCTTAGATCTCTGCCTTTTAGACAGAACTGCTGTTGGACTTCCACCAGTTGACTATGATAATCTACATCTTCAACTTATAAAACAAAAAAGACTAAAGAATTATGCGCGGCGAAAACAACAATCAAGTGAGTGAATAGTAAATATACAATAATCCACAATTGCAATTGCTCACTTAAAAAGATTGATTTTTTGTTATTGGACGGTGAGAATAATATTAGTTCACACAATTGCTTCACCAAGTGCTAATCCAAATATCATCATCATTCAAACATTTGCAAGCTCAATCATTATGAAATAAAATAATTAACACTGCTCAACCAGTCATAACAATTACAGCTAAAGAAATTTTTAATATATAATTCTATCACTAATACATTCTTTACAATACAACAACAACAACATCAAGCCTTTGCCCCACTACGTGGGGTCGGCTACATGAATCCTTTTTCGCCATTATGTCCGGTTAAAAGTCAAATTCTCATCTAAATCTAATAAAGAAAGATTATTTCTAATATTTTCTAACCAAATCTTATTAGGTCTAACTCTTATCTTTCTTAACATAAGCCAAATCTAATACCTCAACTTTCCTAACCGGGTCATCGGAAGGCCTCCGTTTAATGTGACCAAACCATCTAAGGTGACTCTCTCTAATCTTATCTTCCATTGGAGCTACTCCAACCTTTTCACATATATGCTCATTTCGTATCCTATCTTCAGCTCTAAAGGTCAAGCCACTCATCCACCTAAGCATCCTCATCTCTGCAAAACTTAACTTAGTATTTTGCTTCTCTTTTAATGGCCAACATTCGGCACCATAAAGCATAATACATTCTTTACAATAAAATAAAATAAACCACCTGAATTTCATATCCAAACTATTCTTCAAGTTTAAAATAGCAAGACAGCTTAACATATAGAAGGGCTATTCTGAAACAAATTCTAAGAAGTCCAGTGCTAAACTTAGAAGGGGCCGGATGAATGTATGAATATTAGTTCGGCAAGAAAATCACGGAATTTGAAAAAAAAAACATTAACACAGGCATTCAGCTACTGATCCAATTAGAACAAATAAAATGGACCAACACAATCATTTAACCAATTAACCGATTGAATTAACTCAGCCATACACATACTAAAGTAATAAATGAGAAGAATATTAGTGAATAAAAAACCAGTAAAAAAAACATAGATACTAATTTAATAAATGAAAAGAATAATAGATTAGGCAAATCAACTTAGGCCTCATTGAAATGCAAAATGCGTTATTGTTAAGCCACTTCGTCAATGCTGCTCATTCAAATGCAGAAATAGTGAGTACAAAACCATCTCGTGCTCTTCAAAACATACAAAATCCCAAATCAGATACATTATTTCATTATTATTTCATTTATGAAAGCATTCGGAACCTCAGAAGACCTCTTAAGAGGATTTGCAACTCATTAGCCAGAGGTAAGTTACTATATACCACCGCTGAAGAAGATTGGAATGGAGAAAGCAAAAGTTTACCTTGGACTGTTGAGTTGATGGTTTCGGTGAGAGGAAGATGGATGAGTTTCGTTTGTCGGGACCGAGAGGGAGATTAGGGCCTGCTGTGTTCGCCGAGAGTGAGATGAGCGGCTACTGTGTTCGGTGATAGCAACATGAGCGGGAATAACTGTTGTGCTCGACGAGAGAGAGGAGTGGAAATCGTGAGGGAGAAATGGAGTTGGACGAGGCGCTAGAAGAGGTCACTCGGGGCAAATTATAACATCGGGTCACCGGAATTTTTTTTTGTTGGGACATCCATTAAAAATTTGTCACGTGGCCTGTACTTTTACTCAAAAAAATGCAATCAAAAGTGTAGGTAAAACACAGTCAAAGTACATCTAAAGCACAGTCAAAGCGCAGGCCACATGATGAGTTCTTATTGGATGTCCGGACCTATTTCTAGGTCTGATGATCGGACCTAATAATTTGCTGTCGCTCGGAGATGTGCCGATGGACGCGCAAATGTTGTGTGGGTAAATTTGACATTTCCGTGTGTAAACAAAGGTAGTAGAAGGAGTAAGCTGCAACCTTCCGTCTTTTCAGATAGGCATAAATACGTCGTTGTACAGAAACGAAGTTTAGAGAAGTAGTGGTAGCAAACACATATCTGTAACTGTTTTCGGCGATTCAAAACGAAAACGGCATAATAAAGTGCAAAACAAACGAGGCCTTAGTGTGTTTTTCTCCTACTTTACACTTAAAAGAATTATGTAGTAGTAATTCTGACAGCTTATTGGTAGCTTCTTTTATTTTCAAAGTGCTTGATTATTTGTCATTACAGCCTTTTTTTGAATCATAAGAAGAGAGCCAAGAAGTTGATTCTTTTAAAAATATGATTTAGAGAGAATCCTTACACATTTTTAATCTTGTAAATTAGTTGATTTTTATCTGTGTAAAATTTCCTCCATAGAAAGCTTAATTATTGAATAATTTACAAACATGGTATGATTTACTAGCACTTGCAGGGTCTAAGTGAAGAACTGTGAATGAAAAAACATTTTTTTGTTATAATTTTTTTATAAACATTAGGTCTATCCAAAATCAAATTGACATAATAAATCCAATTGAAGAAAAGCAAATGTTACAAATACAAATTTTACAGTCAAATGTTACATTCCAGTTCTGCTAAAACCCTCTTAAATAAAAAAAAGTTGAATAATGCTCATTGTGCTTCAGGCAGGCAATTGGTCATATCCTTCATTAATCTCTAGTAATGGCCATAGCCGGGTGGCGGCGGAGGCCGAGGCGTCGGCCTCCTGTTATAGCCTCTATCTAATACAACATACCTATTATTATCCATTTGCTGCAAGTTAGTATTTGTTCTTCCCACAGGAGCTTGACTTGAAGGTCCTCTCCTAGGATCATACTGTGGATTCCATGGCTGCTGGAGTCCATACGCACGGAAACCACCATAGTCATCCCTATATCCCGACCGTGGAGGGAAGCTACCATGAATAGGTTGCTGGACTACATTTCTTGCGGCGACGGGGTACGCCGATGCACCATACTGTAGGTGGCTTGGAGCAGGGGCTCTTTGCTCCCAGTGTCTACTGTGCTGTGGAGCTTGAGGTCTACTACCATATTCATTTCTTTCGAATTGACGATTTTCGTGTCGCTCGTAACGATAAGTTGACGCAGAAACAACACCGTACCGTTGCGACTGGCCGACGGAATGTTGCTCTGCTCTGACATCAAATGAATGTTGCCTTCCATTTGGATGTGGAAATGAAGCAGAAGAATGTGGATTATGTGATGGTGGATGAGCCTGCCTTCTAGCCTCAATATCATTGAGCTCTCTTCCCGTTCGAATTTGCAAGCTATTTGTGACTAAACGATGAGCTGCGTCGCCAAGTTGTCTACCGGAGAAAGATCCTGGAGGGTTTTGCCTGGATAGGCTATTGTAGTTTAAAAAACCTCCAAACCTGAGATAAACAACTAATTGTATTATTGAGTAAAATGGTCAATACCTTCCATTTTCAAAGGGTCTCCTGCCTGTATCTTCGTGCCAGAGAACAGGCGCCGGCTTCAAATCACCCATAGTAACAGTCTGAAACCAGAATAGAATAGAATAAGATGACCAGTTTTGAAATTGACTGATAAATTGTTAGTGCTGTAAAACATGGTCTGTTCAATCGAAAAACTAATCACGTCATCAAAGATATAACATTATAACCATGGATTACTAAAGCTATCAATATGGCATAGACAAACTACCTGACTACACAGACCAAGCAAAAATATATATAAAAAGAAAATCAAAAAAGGCTTTCAAAAAAAAAAACCACCCTCAAAGAGATAATAACAACAAGAGGAAAATTCTGTCACAAACAAATGCAGAAATTGGCAGTAAAATGATTATTTTCTACAAAGGTTCATGCAAACACAGACTGCACCACATGAACATTACCAAAAAGCTGTACGCAGAAAGGAAACCTCCAGAATGTAATTATTAATTAAAGAGAGAAAAAGCTCAATTCTGATAGGAAATACTTGAGTTCGCAAGTAACCCTAAGGGTAATATTTGAGTTCGCAAGCAAACCTATCACTTATTGGTGAAAAACAGTGAGAATAATGCAAAATCTGGGTGAAAACAGCCCAAAACAATATATTGCAGTAAGAAAATCAAAGCCAAACAATAAGGAAAACAAGATACAAGAGATCCTCAATTCGAGAGGAGAATCGTCTCTCTCAAATCTCTAGACAAGAGAGTCTAGAGCCCAAGTCGCCAAGAAATCCTGATTGAGAACAAATCAAAACATAATCCCTCCCTAAACATCTCATGCTCTTTAATACAAAAACTTTCCTAATCTAATTTCCCTCCCAAGCCCTAGCTGCCCCCTCCTTTTCAATTTGAGTTCAAGTGGACTAGTGGGGCCCTCACTATGGGTGGGCAAGGCCAAAGAAGGTGGATAGTTTCCGCCTCCTGTAATAGATCTGAGGGCCGGCTGGGCCGGTTCAGGGTGAACCAGCCAAACAAATTCATTAATATGTTTTTATGCATTTTAAACATTTTCCAATGCATTAGATGAAAAAACAAATCTAAGTGATTGTTTGCCATGGCTTAAGCATATCATACAAACATATGTAAAGCAATCCCAAACCAACTGGTTATAATAGATGCATGCATCCGAAATTGAACTCCATTCAGAAGCATAAATAAATGTCACAAGGAGTTTCAAATAGCCAAAGAAGTATAACGATTGACAAACTTATGGAAGAAGTACAAGGAAAAAAGAAGGGCTACACAACTGAGAAAACAAACAGTAATGCTGACACATATCAACATCTATAAATACCTTTTTAGGGAATACAACCCCTGACGGTGGTTGAGTAAGGTGTTTGTGAGCATCTGGAAATTTGTATATTGCACAACTGAACA